GATTACAGAAAAACTGTTTTGAACATGGTAATGGATTAAAATATATAAGTAACAGGCTGAATGTACATTAACCTTACATCTTAACACCTCTTTAAAAAAAAAAGCAGATCATAGATCATATATTTTGTCTATAGCCTATAATATACAGTAGCTTCGTAAATAGGAAGATTTCAATACATGAGGATTCTGAATGGGATTTTTTAAGCGAGCCATTAAATGACTTCAGACTCGACTCGGACTTGTGACCAAAGACTCGAGACTTGACTCAGACTCTAGCAGCAAAGACTTCAGACTTGACTCGGACTCCAGGTTCACGAGTTCACACTTACATATAATGAACCGAGTAAAGGTTATGCGTATTTGGTGTGCTGTCCGGGGAGAGGGCTCTGAGCTCGGGAATTACTCTCGAGCCCGGGGTACTCCCCCTGTCCGGGGAGAGGGGTCCGAGCTCGGGATTAAGCCCGGACCCAGAATGCTCCCCCAAAGATGCAATTAGTATGGGACAGCAGCCAGAGAGGAGCATTGATAACCCCCCAAATTTGCAGAACTTAAAATTGGTGGGGTGCTGGAACATCGCTTGTAGTAGCGGCACTGCTGAGGCTTAGGAGAGAGAACTAGAGGCTTCTGCGGAAGCGGGCGCTGCTGCGGCATCTGAAAAAGAAAAAAAACCCCTGTGGGAGTGGGAACTGCTACGGCATCTGAAAAGAAAAATGTTTTCTGCGGAAGCAAGCGCTGCTGCGGCAGTGTAAAATACAGATAATGGCTCCAGCGGGAGCGGGAACTGCTGCGGCAGTGGGGAAAAGCTTGGAGGCGCCCCTGTTTGGAGGGAAGTAAAGAGGGCGAGGAGATCGGGCTTGGCTGATCGTCGTGGGACGCTGACGCCGGAGCTAACGAGCACCTGGCGTAGTTCTGACACGGTCCATTTCTCCGCAGCTGGGGCGGAGGAGAGGGCTGAGGCGTAGGAGGATGCTGGAGAAGGTGATGGCGTGCCTCGGTGCCTGGAGGTATGCGCGATGGTGACGCGGGAGGGCCGGCGGCCCCGAGTTGCAGCTGCGGGCTCGATTTTGGTGTCCTGCGGAGCGCTGGTGTGCTGGACGGCGACTGAAGACGCCGGAGGACCCGTGGTGTCAAACTCATTATCGTCCGGGAAAAGTTCGATGTCTGACATGGTGCTAAAGACAGGAGATAATGGAGGTAAGGCTGCTTTGATTATTTATAGAGGTTCTCTCTTGTGCTGATTGGATAGATGGTGTAATTACTGATGATGAACTGGCCGTGTTAATTATCTGCGTGCGCTCCTCCCGAAACTTGTTAATAAAACATCACTTAAAGACTTGTGAACATCTGTCTGATGGTACTAAAAGTGGATTTAGTGAATTTTGTAAATTTTTTCAAAGAGTTGTCGAGAAACTTAATGTGAAGGAGAGCAAAATATCTGTGGTTCAGTACAGTGACAATCCAGTGGTTGACTTCTATCTTAAAACTTACTCAAAGTGGAGCTTCTAAATGACATAAAGGTCCTGAAACACAAAGGTAGACAAGCAGCTAACACTGGTGCAGCCCTCCAGTTTGTGAGGCACCAGGTTTTCACTTCTTCATCTGGGAGTAGACAACTTTATGGAATTTTTCAAATACTAATATTGTTGAGTAGCAGACCATTTAGTGATGAAATAATAGGGCCTGCCATGGCCCTTAAATATCTTGAAATAGTGACAGTGAGCATTGGCGTGGAAAATTCAGATTCAAATGAGCTGAAAACTGTATAAATTCAGTCTCAATTCACACATTATATTGATCAATTTGATGACCTTCATTTAATAGAGCCAAAAATAGTTTTTACATTAAAGAATATCTAAAAAGAATCTGAAAAAAAAATTCTGAAAACTGAAGTTCCAAACTCAGCTGGTTCACTATAAGCAATCATTAAACAATTATTTGTGTTTAAGTTTTCAGAATTTGTATAGTCTACAAGTCGCCGTGGGTAAGAGCATCTGCTAAATGCCTTAATGTTAAATGTTATAGAAATGTTATAGAAATATATCAACCCATATATGGTTTGATGTTCAAGTATGGGTGAAACTGAAAATTATTTTTTCTTAAAGGGGTCATATGATGCTGCTAAAAAGAACATTATTTTGTGTATGGTGTAATGAAATGTGTTTATGCGGTTTAAGGTTCAAAAAACCTTATACTGTACATTATTATTTCTCCTCTATGCCCTGCCTTTCTGAAATGCGTCGATTTTTACAAAGCTCATCGGTTTGAAAAGCGAGGTGTGCTCTGATTGGCCAGCTATACAGAGTGTTGTGATTGGCCGAATACCTCAAGCGTGTGACGGAAATGTTACGCCCCTTACCATAT